GTGTGTGTGTGTGTGCGTTTGTGTGATTGTGTGTGTGTGTGCGTTTGTGTGTGTTTGTGTGTGTGTGCGTGTGTGATTGTGTGTGTTTGTGTGTGTGTGTGTGTGTGTGTGTGTGTGTGTGTGTGTGTGTGCGTGCGTGTGTGTGTGTGTGTGTGTATGTGTGTGCGTCTACATGTATGTGTGTGTGTATGTGTGTGCGTCTATATGTGTGTGTGCGTGTATCTGTGTGAACAATGAACCGGTACACAGCACTATAACTTGTGTGTGAAGTCTGCTACATTGTACCGCTACATGTAGTTATAATTACGTGGTTTGGGGTTTTAATGTTATCTAGGACAAAGACTGGCATCCCCTGAAGCCCGGAGACCCCATGTTCCTGAGCATGGACGGAAAAACTATCAAGTACGAGGGCGAAAGCACCATTTACCCAGCATTCGTCAACGAGGCAGCGTACTACGAGAAAGGCATTGCATTCTGGGCTACCCAAAAAGAAACCCTGAATGTCAACGAGTTGCAAGTCAAGACTTAGTCAAAACAAAGGGAAGTTTTTTTTGTTTTTTTTCTCCTCATAGTCACTCTGAATGTGTAGTGAAGATTGATTCTTCTCAGAGACATGTATGTTAGAACAAAGCAACCAGACAAGGTTTTATTTCATAATACATTGACTTTAGTTACTCATGTTTGTTTGAAAAAGAAATTTGTTATAGTACATGTATTTACTACTCGGCTGCACATAGTGTTGCCAGTATGCTGGCATTAAAGGGGCATTATGTATATTACTAAAACATTTTTGCACCAAAAAAAGGAAAGTATTTTAATTGACAAAATGTTTTGTAATTTACTTCCATGTTTCAACATATTTGTGCAATTATCTAAAATTTTGACATTTATGGTTGGCGCTAAAACAGCCCACACAAGGGGCTCTCAGTTTGTGGAACCACCACAAAATACCAGAAAAAAACATGGCTGACAGCTGTGTTTCCAGCTTTAGGCATCCTATCTTAGCACCTCCACTTCCTGGATGGCACTTGCAATTGAGCAGGGTTGATTCAACTAGAAAATTGGCTTTATGTACATGTATCATCCTAATGTCACATCAGCTTTAAGTTTGCAGACATATACAATGGCTACTTTAGAGTGCCAATGGCATATCTGGATAGTACATAAAAATAGCACTTTGAATGCTGTCTAAATTAATCTTATTCTACACATGTGGATTCTGTGAGAGTTCAGGTGTCTACAGGACTAGCAACAGTTGTTTTTAGAAAAATTCCTTTGTGCAACTGTGTCAATGTACATGATCAAGCCCTGGAGATTTAGCGATGAAGTATTTTATGAAGAAGCAGCATAGGCCATTTTTTTTTTCGAATTTTAGAGAACCTGTACTGAAAAAGGAAAGGATCCGGACCAGATGTGTGACCATAGTGAAATTCAAATTGACACGTCAAGCCTAGACAAACAGCTTACAAATTCCTTGTCATGAATTCCTATCTTCTCAAGTTTAATCAGGATTGTCTGTCATTCCAAATACCACTACTGAACATGAGTGTGGTACCAGTGTAACAGGCCAGAATATAAAATGTGCCCCTTAGCCAGAATGTACCTGGGTACACATTCTGTCCAGGGTTACGTTCTGGCATGTTACACCTGCACAATTTGCACTGTTTCAGTGTTCCATTCATTCATGATGATATAAAAAGATGACTATTTAGAAATTATCAGTGTAGAGAGAATATGAAGGTTGTAAATAAACCTAAGTAGAAATTATGAAAATAAGAGTATGATAATCATGATATCACTGTCATTCTTCATTTGAAGAATTTTTCATTCACACCATGATATTACATTTGAAAAACCTAGTACTTGTACTGTTTTTATTACATTTTGTGTCCTTCTGTATCTGTATAGCCGGTATAACAGCCTTTCGGCATAACACACCAGCATCACAGGCACGCGGCGCGGTGGCAGCTGGATATATATCACCAATCGACTTGTTACACCTAACCCTTGAACATCTAACTCTAGACAGTGTTTAAAGCTATCTAATGACAATGCTCCTACTGTACTAGGTGACAGAGAGTTCCACTCTGTGATAGTTCTAGAAAAGAATGAATTCTTGAACACCTCAATCCTTGCTTGATAACTCTGGTACTTGAAAGCATGGCTATTTCTTGTTCTCTTCTGGGAATCTTAGAAAATAAATACAACAATGAAGACAAACACTTCCTTTTCCAAGGTCACACAGACAATATGTATTGGACATTCAACTCATATACATGTACATATATTTATATATTATTTCTGAGTACACAAATGTCATGTTGAAATATATACGCTCTTTTTAAAAAATGGCCATATACATAATATATACAATTTACACAATATATGTAAAATGTTTGACATGAATAACGTTACATGTTTTTCAAATGTGTGGTTACTCAGACGTGACAACATTTTCACATGGTAGGCAATTTCTACATTTTCTTACTTAGATAAAATCCTCCTTTTAAGACACATTTTCATGTGATAATAAGGCAAAACAATTTCTGCAACTTTCGTACGTCAAATGATTATCCTTTCACAAATCCAAACTTCCTAAATTTAGCCCTAAAACTCTCTTAAGACTGGCGCTATAAGTTATGTACAGACTGGCATGTGGTATATGGGGGTCCCTTTTTAAAAACACAAACTCAAACGTGGGTCGCAAACTACTGCTCGAATTGGTCATATTAAGGGTTAATCCTTGGTCGAATCATAGATTCTAATTTGAGAGAATTTTCCTCAATTTCCAGTAAAAAAAATGGGTACCAGGTTCATCTTGAAAAGGTTAGTAATACCTGCTTCTTTTCATTTTAGTTAATAAAAAACGCACAATTCTGATATATAAATTAAATTCCTTTTTACTATAGGAGGGGATGTACAATGTAAGCTCTTGAAATTAGGTTAAAGGATTAAAATAAAGTCCAAGCTAATGCATCCATCCACCAAGGGTATCTTGTCTCTCATTCAACAAAGTAACCAATCAGTCAACTACAGCCCGACAACAGCAGTTCACAATATGTCCAACACTCCATTTTTTTGTTTGTTTTTTTGTAAATTTTGTGGGAGAAGCTGGCGTAGGCTGAGCCAGTGAATGCCGCTGCCGGGCTCTTTCAGATTAAACCACACCAGAGATGAGAACCCTTGGGGATTAGACGACCATCATGGACATATTAAGCTATCTGCCAAACAGAAATAAAGTAAGTTGAAGGGAAAAGTGTGATAATCTAGGGCCTAAACCATCTTCCAAACAGTGAAATGTTTTGAAGGAAAAAGTTCTTTTAGTAATCTCATGACCGTACCTATAAATATAATTGTAAAAAAATTGTAATAATCCCAGGACCAAAAGTTGACATATTAGAGTTTTGAATTACTTCAAATTTAAAAATAAACTACCTTATCTGCCAAATGGAAATGTATGGAGGAAAAAACTTCCCAATAATATATAATAATCCTGTGACCAAATCTTTTAGTTCGGTACTCCACGTATAAGAGTTTAGATTACTTAGAATCCCCCATGACAATACCTCCAGAAGCCAGAATGTGTTAATTTAGCCGCCTTCTGCTTTCAATAACTTAGGACTAAATACTACCCGTCTAGCAAATTCTCATGATTATATCGAAACTTTGCCTCTAATTTACCACTTTTTGGGAGGTTGGTAAAATGCAATCATTTATACAATAATATCATGTTATTATTTATACAATACATTGTAATACAATACATAGTACATACAATTTCCTGTTATTGTTTAGACAAAATTTTATGCTATTATTTATATAATACATTCAGTATCCAGCTTTGGTTTTACAATTACTGTACAAGACGTGTTTACATACTGGACTGGTGACCTTGTTTTTTTTTTCCTTTTTTTCAAGGCGGGTACTGAACCACAGCAATCTCGCGGTCAGAGATCACTGTGAAGGTGGTCCTTCCACCCATGACCTTAAATGAGTCCATGTATACGAATTGCCCGGCCGGAACATGTGTGGCCAGCTTATGTGATCTGTCTGGTCCAGCTCGGGGGACGTGTAAGGGCTCTGCATTAGGTGGGAGCAAGGTCCGACCTGATGAAAGGCGGGGCTCATCTGGACCAAACAGCTCTAGTGCTACTCTCTCTCCTGTTTCATCATGTGATGTTGGGGACATAATGACACTGAGTACTTGTCGAAGACGTTTGGGGTCGAGGTCAGTTTGGGTACTGCTGGTGGTGGTTTTACATGTGAGGTTACATGTTTGGGTACTGCTGGTGGTGGTTTTACATGTGACGTTACATGTTTGGGTACTGCTGCTGATTGTTTTGACCGTAGATGTTTGTGTTGAACATGTTTGGCATGTGAGGTTACATGTTTGTGTTGAGCTACTTATGGTTTGACGTGTGACGTAGTCCGTCTCGTTGGCCTCTGTACCTACTGCAATACTCCTGGTACTTCTGACGTTGTCTAGTTTGTCGGTCCCAGATCGAAAGGCGTCGTCTAGACTGTCTGAGAGGTACGTAGAGATGGACTCGGCATCACTCTCCGATTCTGCATGCGCAGGTCTGAGGATAGACAGGTATAAGAACATGTTTATAATGTTTGACTGGAAGGACATGATGTAAATTTTAAAGTTTTTCACCTTTTTTCTCGCTAATTCCCAAAGTCTTCTTAAGGTAATGACTTACAAACACAACACTGATAACTGTAAGCCAAACCAATCAATGACTTTTGAATAAAGATAAACTTACGAGGGCCACCAGAAGCCGCCTGACTCAAGAATCGCCAATTTGCACTTCAGGTCCTCAACTTCGAGCTCGAGACTTGCCAGCCTGTAGAGAGGGAGGAAGAAAAGTTGGTTTTGAATACCTTATTATGATGAGGTTTCAAATGTACAGACAGATACTGTACAATCTTTCACTCCAGTGCTCTGGTTTCATCTTGACCACTTGCTATTTTTTTAAATGTCAGAAAACCAAGGAAATGACATAAAGACTGGCCTTAAATATCAAACGGTTTGCCACACAGAAATTGTGGCAATGAAGCCTTCCAAAGTTTGTAACAGCAGCTCTTACGTTATGTTTGCAGCTTCCAGTTCAGATTGACATTTGATCATGGTTTGATGTTCGACGCTGTCTGTCTCGTTGGCCTCTGTACCTACTGCAATACTCCTGGTACTTATGACGTTGTCTAGTTTGTTGGTCCCGGATGAAAAGCCGTCGTCTAGGCTGTCAGTGGAACACATGGACTCAGTATCACTCTCCGAATCCGCATGAGGTCTGAGGATAGACAGGCAAGAACATGTTAAATGTTTGACTGGTTTTCACCTTTTTTTCTTGCTAATTACTAACAGAATTGAGGATATGTTGCACTCCTGTCCCCAAGTATTCTTAAGGTAACAAACACAACACTGATTATGCAGCTGTAAAGCCAAACCAATCAATGACTTTTGAATAAAGATAAACTTACCCGTGCCACCAGAAGCCGCCTGACTCAAGAATCGCCAACTTGCACTTTAAGTTTCAATCTCGAGCTCTTTCCTAGCCAATCTGTGGAAGGGGAGGGAGAAAAGTTGGTTTTGAGCACCTCATTATGGTACACAAAGTTTCAGATGTGCAGTCAGATACAATCTTTCAATCCAGAGACCTGCTTACATCTTCACCACTTGATATTTTTCTAAATGTCAGACAACCAAGGAAATTCCTTATCCAAACAGTTTGCCACACAGAACTTTTGGCAATGAAGCCTTCCAAAGTTTTTAACAGCGGCTCTTACTTTATGTCTGCTTCCTCCAGTTCCCCAAGTAGCCTGCATCAGGAGAAACAGAAGTTAAAATGGATAAATGGAAAACAAGGGAAGGGAGCACTCCACACGGGACCCCACCCTGCCACCACCCAAGGGATTGTAGCACGTTCTACATGCATTAATTACATTTTGACTGCTTAACCTCTCTGTGGTTAGGGAGAGGTAAACAGTTATGTTAGGTCAGCTGCTATATTTCAGCATTATAGTAGGGGTCAGAATTACATCATCACTGATGCATACAAATGCCCTCAGCATTGTTTCAAAGCCCTCTTAAGCAACATAATATACACTGATATCTAAGTGTACAAAACTTGATCAAATACTGTAACAGCAAAGTAACATACAATACCTAATGAATAAAAAGATGTATCTGAGAACATTTTAGCGAGGTTGAAAAGTAATGTGCAACCACTGTGAAGTACAGACATGAACAATATTACTTAAGAGCAGAAGTAAAACTCAACAAACAACAGCCTACCTTTTGTTACAAGACTCTTCCTTGTCTTTGGACTCCGTTAAACTGTAAGGAATTGGCACAAATGTCATCCATAGGTCTCTGTGCAAGTGTCCATATAATTACATGTATTATTATATTAAATTTAAACCAACAAACAATCAAGAAAAAAACAATCAAAAGAGTTCACAAACCTCTTTAGCTCTTGTTCCAGGTACTCCACTTTCCTGCAAATGCAGAAAAAAAAAACACTTTTAGAGTTCTCGGAGAGAGAGCGATGGTACGTGGCCTGGTTAAATCACACTCCCTGTGTGGTCATCAGACTGATCTGTTCCCAGACTAGGCTCTTCAAGGCAACTGACTTGTAAGCCGGATGGAATCAGGCCTGCCTGGTTCTCTGATGTTAAGCATCTGACTTTTGTTTCAGAGTTTGAGCTTGTGATTTCCATTGGTTAATGTAACAGTTCCTAATCAACTAATCTTTAGTAAACTTCCATGTTGACTCCCATACTGGTCTTTTGTTGTATTTAATATGTTCCCCCTAGCCTTTTTAACTGACATGGTTCAAAATTCCTTACCAAAGTTAAGTAACAAATATATCAGCCCAACTAAGACACAAAGGCATGCCTGTTACCTATGCGGGTGGTAGTATTTGACACCAAGGACTATGCATATGCATGGCATATGTACCAATGTTGTCCTGCTTACCTAGGTTCAACGTTGTCCGGTTCCAGCCACACAAGGTTGGGTTCGGTGATGGCCAGGTTGGGCCTTGTGGTTGCTGGGTCAGGCGTGAAACACACTATGTGGGGTTTGGTTGCAGCAAGGTTACGTCCTGAGTTGGGCCGGGTCTTCAGATCAGCTTGTAAGCTGTAAATGATAAAATAAAAAATACAGAAAAGATGTATTCCACATCAAGAACTTTATGGTGTGTCATTAAGGGACTTAAAGTCAGCAAAATGCAGATGAAATGACTATTAGTGTCAATGATTGTTTAAAACGATCTATAGATATAATGAAAAGTTATGGAAGACAAAGTTGGAGTGAGAGCAGAAAGAGCCATGACTTTTTTTTTAATTTTTTTTAATCTTCATTCAGTAAATCACATACACAATACATTTTAACACCGCAAATCTAAAACGCGAATTTACATCAATACCTGGTTACATACACTTTACGACTATACAGCAGTAGGTGATCATAAGACATACAGGAGATATTACATAACCTAAACTACATAATTACAGAACAGATGTGGGCGAGTCAAAAGGAAATGTCGATAGTCTGTGTTTTACGGCATGGAACGTGGGGTTGATATTGCTAATGGCGGTGCAGAAAAGGTAAAATTTTGCTTGCAAGATACAACTGTTCAGTGTTTTATTGTTTTGGAGGGGGGAGAAGTGACCATAAATAATTTCATTGTTGGAGAGAGCCTCGGGAAGCGTATGATCTTTTTTCCACCAGTCCATAAACTCTTTCCAGAATATT